GGGAGATACAACTAAAGGCAATGTTCAGTGTTGATTTCCTGGTTTATTCATTGCACTGCATTTATATGAATTGGATTTAGAGGGAGCTGGGTAAAGAGTACAGCAAATTCCACTATTATTTTTCTATACAGATTTTTAGAACATTGAGACAATTTTTTTTCTTTTCTTTTCTTTTTTTTGCTTTTTTTTGTTTGTTTTTTTTTTAGATAGGATTTTACTCCTGGGCTAGAGTGCAGTGGAGTCATCATAGTTCACAGCAACCTCAAGTTGCTGGGCTCCAGTAATCTTCATTCTTCAGGGTCCCAAGTAGCTGGGACTACAAAGCGCCCACCATCATACCTGGCTAATATCTTTTTTGTATAAATAGAGGTCTTGACATGTTGCCCAGAATAGTCTCAAACTCCTAGCCTTAATTGATCTCCTGCCTCAGCCTCCCCAAATGCTGGAATTACAGGTGCAAACCACCCCACCCAGCTAATTCCAGAATATTTTATTTTATTTATTCATTTTTGAGACAGAGACTCAAGCTGTCAGAGACTCACCCTGGATAGAGTGCCATGGCATCATAGTTCATAGCAACCTCCAACTCAGACTCAATCAATCCTCTTGCCTCAGTTTTTCTATTTTTAGTAGAGATAGGGTCTCGCATTTTGCTCAGACTGGTCTCGAACCCATGAGCTCAAGCTATTCTTGGCCTCCCAGAGTGTGAGGATTACAGGTATAAGTCACAGTGCCTAGCCTAATTCCAGAACATTTTAATCACACCAAAAAGCAACCTGTATCCACTGGCATTAAGTCCTACTTCCTCCTTCCCCCAGCCCTTGGTTATCATTAATCTTTCTGTACCTATGGATTTTCCTATTCAAGACATTTCATATAAATGGAATCACACAATATGTGGCCTCTTGGGTCTGGCTTCTTTCACTTAGCATAACGTTTTCAAGATTCATCCATATTGCAACTTTTTGTTAGTCTAAAGTAATTTCAGGCTGGGGCAGCACCTGTGGCTCAGTGAGTAGGGTGCCAGCCCCATATACTGAGGCTGGCAGGTTTGAACCGGGACAAAGTGCAACAAAAAAATAGCCAGGTGTTGTGGCGGATGCCTGTAGTCCCAGCTACTTGGGAGGCTGAGGCAAAAGAATCTCCTAAGCCCAAGAGCTGGAGGTTGCTGTGAGCTGTGATGCCATAGCACTCTACCAAGGGCAACAGAGTAAAACTCTGTCTCTAAAAATAATAATAATAATGATGATGATAATTTCAGGCTGGATGTAGTGGCTCACAACTATAATCCCAGGGCTTTGGGAGGCTAAGTTAGGCAGGTTGCTTGAGACTCAGATTTCAAGACAAGCTGGGCAACAGAGTAAGAACCTATCTCAGAAAAAAAAAAAATTAATTAGTTGAAAATCTTTGCCAAATTCAGGCATTTTTGTGCTCTCAACTTTTGCCATGTCTATAAACCATCCGTACAAAAATTTGACAAAACTTTTAAGTTGGTTATGTTTTAAACTTATTTTTTGTTGTTTTTTGAAATAGAGTCTCACTTTGTTGCCCCAGTAGAATGCTGTGACATCATAGTTCACAGCAACCTCAAACTCTTGGGCTCAAGCAATCCTCTGCCTCAGCTTCCCAAGTACCTAGGACTACCGGAGCCTGCCACAATGCCTGGCTATTTTCAGAAATGGGGTCTTGCTTTTGATCAGACTGGTCTTGAACTCCCAAGCTTAAGCCATCCACCTGCCTTGGCCTCCCAGAGTGCTAAGATTTCAGGCATGAGCCACCATACCCAGCCTAAATTTATTTTAAAAGGAAATTTTGGGGCGGGGGGAACAGAGTCTCACTATGTCACCCTGGGTAGAGTGCTATGGCATCACAGCTCATAGCAACCTCCAACTCTTGGGCTTAAGTGATTCTCTTGCCTCAGCTTCCCAAGTAGCTGGGACTATAGGTGCCTGCCACAGCACTGGCTATTTTTTGTTTCAGTTGTCATTGTTGTTTAGTGGACCTGGGCCGGGTTTGAACTTGCCACCCTCCGTGTATGTGGATGGCAACATAACCACTGTACTACAGGCACCAAGGCTTAAAAAGGAAATTTTAATCATACTGGCAAATATCTCTGTAATGTCTACTGAATGATAACTATTACATTCCAGGGTCTTTTCTAAATACTTTATTTGTTTGCTTGGAGACAAAGTCTCATTGTGTCGCCCTCGGTGGCATGCCAGTGGCATTATAGCTTACAGCAACCTCAAATTCTTGGGCTTAAGGGATTCTGCCTCAGCCTCCCAAGTAGCTGGAACCACGTGTGCCCACCACAATGCCCAGCTATATTTTGGTATTTTTGGTTTGTTTGGCAGGCCCAGGCTGGATTTGAACCCACCAGCTCCAGTGTATGTGGCTGGCGCCCTAGCTGCTGAGCTATAGGCGCTGAGCCTAAATACTTGTTTTTTTAAGAGACAGGATCTCACTGTCACCCAGGCTGAAGTGCAATTGGTGACAGAGTGCTTCCCTATGCTCCCTGGAACTCCAAAGCTTTGGGGAAGCCCTGGGACTAGGACCTGGCTAAACATTTTTTTTTTGTTTTTTTTTTTTTGCAGTTTTGGCTGGGGCTGGGCTTAAATCTGCCACCTCTGGTATATGGGGTTGGCACTGGACTCCTTGAGCCATAGGCATCGCCCTAAACATCTTTGCCTGCAGTTCCATTTCTGCTTTCCAGATGGGGCTTCAAGATGTTTGAGCAG